GACCAAAGTTATAATTATTGGTAACTGCCAGTTGTCTGTGGTCTGTGTTTGCCGCGATTAGGACCCCATCGCGGGCGATCGACTTATGCACGAAACATACCATTTTGACACTGATTTTAAGGGTCAAGTTTGGGGGGCGTCTTATCCATGGGGTCGGCTTATAGACGGTAATATACGGTAAATCATGCTAGGCTTTATTTACTGTCATGAGCTCATGTCACTGATAGCTTCATTCAATCAGTAAATTAAGATCTGTATGAAGGAAATAACAAGCTAATAAGGCCACTGCAGTGTGTTATGCTCAGAGAACACAACGTCAAATGAATTGGATAAACAGTGAATTTATTTCCTTATTTTATACTAATCTGATCAAGGGCAAAGACCCGCCAAGGCCAGAATCATTATCCTTCATACTATGATCTTGATATTAGTGTGAGTGAGTTGTGTTTTCACGGCAGGGGCCTCACACACTGTGCCCATATGGGGAATAGAACCCAGGTCTTTGGTGTAAAGAACAAACGCTTTAACCACTAGGCTACCCCACCGCCCCGATTTTGATATTACAAACATATGGCAATCTAACATGTCTAGGATTTATCTAACACAATTTAGCTGGATATTTAGAAAAGAAATTGTTCAAAAATATATTGTTAAATTCCTAATTCTAGCAAGGCAGTTAGCTAGCTTGATCTGGGCCCAGTCCTACAAAGGGATCTAATAACTAAGATGATCATGATGACAATAACTAAAAAAGTCACATATGACACATTTTATAATTGTATATATCATATTAAATTGGTAATTGTGGTTCATTTGTTTATTTTACTTAAAGAAACAGCTTATACATAACCATCACGTTTTAAACATGTCAGATGTTAAAGATCTTTTTAAAAGAGGCATTATCACAGCATGTAATCATAACATTCAGCATCATCATAATCAATGTCTTGTACTTTATTACTTTTTTTTTTGTGCCCACTACTTCCAAATGAAGTTGAGAGACTGACAGCCTAACACTATTATAAAATGCACGAGTGAGTGAGTGTCTAATGTATCCATTACCAGTAAAGAGAGCAAACATCAAATATAATTTCACCTCATAATAATAAAGTATAGCACTGACTTTTCTTTCTACTAAGATCAATCATCATCCTCAATCTCTTAAACATACATACTTGCATAACTAATCAAACTACCAGGTCAGCTTGACCCAATACCTTCCTTGATGAAAAGGATTAGTGAATCAACATTGCAGCATTACAAGGGTGTCCTCCATTAATCATATTTACCATCAATACATAACATCCATATTCCACTGCGTCAATACCGTCTTACATCAAGGACCGGCAGTTGTCACACTTATCATAATGATCATGTCTCATGTATACAACATGTAAGAGATTACATCTATCGACATCCATATCAGCGATAAATGAGAATTGTGGTATTGAAATATATTCTGGTTCTAACTATTCATATTGTGCATTTGCACTTCAAAAGGAAACTAGAAATTAGTCACATAACCAAACCTTAACTGTAAAAACACTTCAGCTATAGCAGGAAATGACCAGCCATGTCACAAGATGTGTATGCAGCTGAATAATGGTTAAAAGCAGTTTCAATAAACCTTCTCCAAATAACAGGGGTGTCGCGATACACCTAATTCATGTATCAGTACATCATGGATCCCAATATGATCCCTATCACAAATATATATTTAATTATTGCTTAAAAAATTCCACATGTTCCAGGGCGGTGGGGTAGCCTAGTGGTGAAAGTGTTCAATTGTCATGTCAACAGCTGAAGGTTCGATTCCCCACATGCGTACAATGTTTAAGCCCATTTCTGGTGTCCCCCGCCATGATATGGCTGGAATATTGCTAAAAGTGGCGTAAAACCATAGTCACTCACTCACTCACTCCACATATTCCATGCAGCCCTGGTCACCTAAGATCATGCTATCAGCAGGTACGTGTTGAACTCACATCATTAGGTAATCTAGGATTGTCCTAATAGTACGTTGTAATCTGATTTGGTATTTTGTTAGGTGATAGGTGGTGAGGGAAAAAGCCCTAAAATAGAGGTCAGGTCTGGTTATTCATAACTTTGTATGTATTACAACTTTAAAATACAACAGAATTAAATATATACAGGATACATAGATTGATGTATTATGGGTTGTATTAACACTTGTAAACTGATGATTCAGCAACATTTAGCAGACAATTGTGACAACTCCGTCATTATTGGGACTATTGCTATGAATGGTGAGTTGAACATGTTGAAGGCTGTGTATGATATTAAGATCATACTATGCAAGAGAAAACTTCTTAACTCTAAGAAATTCAGTGCAAGGCTTTAAATTTAGGTTGGATCAGTGATAAAAGAGGGAGTGGAGTTAAAGGCTATTCTGGTCAGTATTTATGTATAAACCATCAGTGTATTTTTCAGAATCCATCTGACATACATGTAAACAGATCACGATGATCATTTCTGTACTAACAAAAATCAAAAGGTGAGGTTATATGACGATTAACCTTGCATTCGAGGTTATTTCACATATATAGTGACAGGCATGTGTCATATGTGGATGCGTGTCTCTGTGCGTGTATTTATAAGAGAAAGAGAGAATAATAAATGAACATGTCATAATCAGATCAATAATGAGCATGATGAAAACAAATATTTGAAATTAATTTAGAAACAGCAGAGTCCAGCAACTATACTGAGGTTACCCACTTACAAGATTTGTGCGTGCACACATCTACTTGTATTAGTCAGGACTAATGAAGTTATAATAATAGATACACTGCTCATACACAGTGCACTGCCTCTGGGGCAACCGGTCCGAATGTTTTATTTCCTTTAAGCCAAGCACCAGACAGGGTAACAACAAGTTCCATCCTTGTGTACAACTGCTGGAGAGTGAGTGAGTGAGTGAGTTAAAATTTAACGTCACACTGGCAATATTTCAGCCATATCGCACTGCTGGAGAGAGTACCAGATGCTCTATTAACTGGACGATGGTGGTGGTCACAAAGATTAATAAATTATTCAGACTAATACAAGCTTGGTCATGTTAAAGAGGTAAATCATAATGTTATATGCATTAAATATGAAATAAACTCCATTAGAAGCAGGCTGAAAGTCCCATTTAAATAGGTATAACTGCTTCAAAATTACTCCTACCCTGTTAGTGATACAGTAAACAGTTAACAAAGTGATTAAAAACACACCAGTGAACCGAAGCCACACGTCACAAACCTTTCCAGTCAATAATGAAAGGATAAGTAACAGATGTTTTTACCATTTTCCAGTAAGGCCATCACAGATTAATTATTGGATTTTCATTCCCATCTGCTTCAGTACTAAAAACCCTGCCTCAGATCATTTTATTGACCCCAAGAAACAAAATATCAATGTGCTATCTTCTTTCCTTATATGATGAAATACACCATATCTAGTCCTATCAAACATTTATGCTTCATGTAAATAGCAAATATTTACACGTTAACAGTTACACTACACTGATGAACTGACCAGCTTGTCAAAACAAAACACCATATTAATTCTGCTTCTCAATATATGCTAGGGACCATACTTTGGACAAAAGAGGACAAACACTTGTACACACACAACACCAGCATAACAGTCCTTCCAGACAAACATGTTTTATGAATTTTGATGAAAATCAAATAACTCTTTTATTGTTGCCTATTAAAAAAGTTCATATTACCTTGTCTTTACATTATGCATAGTAGAGGAGAGCACAAAAAACTAGTCCAACTCAGCAGCATTAATTCCTCTATAAATTATATATATGAGAGTAAAAAGGGATCAACTGGTTCTCAAATGGTCCTGATAGGATGTCTGGAGACAGGGAATGCTCAGGCATAATTTCTGATAATGGTGATATTAAAGAAGCAGATCCAAGAACCTGTCAACAAATTGTCCCAATGCCAGTATGGTATTGTAACAACATCGGCAATATATATTTTATTTTGAATTATCATCATTGTTAATCATTGTTATCATGAATGACGGAAGTGGTTATTAAACAACAACTTTCACTTTCAGTATCATTGACATGCATATACGATTTCACACTTTCAGTTTTCTTTTCCTTTCATTTTAAGCAGCACTTGTTTTTCATCACACTCACGATCATGAGAATGAAACCTTATCATGTGCTCAACAAGGAAACGTTGCCATCCTTGAGAACAATAGCTAAGTTCTCCACATATATGCTTTGAAAAATCACTCTGTGTGGGGACACTATGTTCTTTCATACAATATTATTCACACAAATATCTTAAATATCTCCTTCATGCAAGTGCTAATTCTGAAAACCCTTATAATAATAAAAATACTTTATTGCCCGACAAAGGAATTCGTTTTACAACAGTGAGACATACAACATGGTTAAAACAAATTAAGCACAGAAACACCCTCTCATAAACACTGACAGTCATGTGCATAAATTCCATTACCAGCTTTCAATTTCACAGGCACGCAACTAATAAATTGAGATACATTGGTTAAATCTTTGGTCTTATGTGACCACAGTCCTCTTAGATATGGACACAATATTCTTTCGAAAACGGTTGACTTACATGAAACATCAGCACTAACTAAATTACCCCTGTCACATTGCATCAGCAGAACTGATATTCAAATGACACAGAAACAATATAATTGAAATCATCCATCTGTTTCTGTATGTTCTCTCAAGGTAGCACATAGTCATATTTCACGCTTTAACATCTCGTTAACCAGTTCACATACATGATATTGTGATAGTAGTAATGGCATTGACAATGAGTCGATGAATGACATCAGATGATCTGTACCATGTGAGCTCGTAGAGGTGACACTGTCAGCGTGGGATATTCACCAACATTACGGGCTCACAACTGTATATAACATCAACAAAATATCATCTGTGGTCCGTGATATGTTATGAATTAGCGCATTCAATAACTGCATACAGATATACTCACTTTTAGCAGCATCGAACACTTGTTTACCATGAGCTATTAGACTTTTAATTCCTTTACTTGTACTTTCGAGCTCCCTTTCGTGTTCATGAAGTTTTTCCCTAAAATAGGGACTGTCTGCTAGACAGTCAGCAAACTCGAGGGGCTGCAGACCCATCTAACCGGACAGCTGAACACAGTATTCCATAGAATAGTTTAAAAATTGCTCCATCACCTACTCACAAGTAGGAAGCATCGTTCTGTGGTTCTAAATATGGAGGCGCTAAAACTACTTTCTGAACAACTATTAACAACTATTTAATCACAAGATGAGAGCGTACAGATTTTGTACAATACACGTCTTGTCTATAATTATAGTATTGGTGAAAATTGTCCTAAATATTTGATAAATATGTTTTGAGAATAACTTTTTGAGTATGTAGCCTTTACTTTGAGATTTCCGCCAGATGCTTATTATCTAAATAGTCGTAGTGCAAGTACTTTATTGACGCATGCGTGAATAACTAAAAGTTTCCGAATCGGACCGCATTTACCGAACAATGACGTGTAAAAGCACATTGCGAAAGAAAGGCACCTGGTTAATTATAAATTTTACTGATACCCGTTTCTAGATATATACAGATAAACAGTATATATATATAAGCATGTATATACAATAGACAGGGGATTATGAGATGAAAGAGAATAAATATACAAAAGCAGATATGGTGTTGTAGATTCATATTTAAGGGTAAGTGATAGAAGCTGGTGAGTCTAATTGATACAAGAGGGTGGATGATAGTGGAATACATGAACACATGATATTCGCACATCCTGAATCAAACTATACTGACAATCGGCCCCAGTCGAGAACAGCGCTAACAACCCGGGGTTTTAAAGAAAGAAATGCATTCGTGAAATAAAATTGTCGAAAGTCGCTGATAGTAGTTGGTAAGTCCAGAGACCATATACCGATATGGTCTCTGGTAAGTCATACTAAATGGCCTATTTTAGTCGATGTAATCTGACATAATTATTTTAAATAAATAATGTATTCAAGCCGTTTTAAACAAGTCTATACCCACGACATACTAAGTTAGTAACTATATATTACAAACTAATACACAAAATGTTTGCACAAGTTTTACGTACAGTCATTACGTGCCCTCATTATATCGCTTAGGGTATTTTATTATTAGAGCATTTTATTTTACACCTTGTGCAAATAGTGGCATGGATGATTTATCGATCGCACCTGTCTTGTCCATGTTAAACAATGAGAGGGTCCGTTTATACAATGACAGACAACTTTATTCGATTTATGTAACTGTCAAGTGTTTCTTAGGTAATTCACTTTCCATTGACGGCGAGTTTCACTTCCTCTTGGAATGTCCTTATTTCCTGTCGAGAAGAGAAAAGCTTTTGCAGCCTTATTATTACCTTATTATTATAGTAATCTTTCCACTGATACATTATACCAGCTTATATCATCAACAAATCCTTCAGTTATAAAAAAATGTACCTTTGTATTGGAAAGGAAATCTTCCAAGATATACTTTCATGTATAGTTATACAATTGCAGAAGCAGTGCACTGTGTGCATGTATTGTATATGCAGCACTATATGGGCCTTGGGCCTTAAATGCAAAGAACATTGCCACTTATCATTTGTCACTTAAAAGCACCAGCCTTGAAGGCTTACAAAATGTATCTATAGGCATTATTTGTTGGCCATCAGTCTTGAATCTTGGTACACAGAGACAAGTTTTGTACTATAATTGCAATACCTGTAGACTGGACTTATATTTTAAGACTGTAGGGATGGAGTGGTATCTCTTTCACTTGAGGGGCGGTTGGGTAGCCCAGTGGTTACAGCGTTGGCTCGTCACGCCGAAGACTCGGGCATGGTGACATCGAAACCAAAAGTTGCACTAGAAAATTTCCTTTTGACAAAGAAACTAAGGTGGTCCCCAAATGTGAAAACACTCCAGCCAATAGTTTTCAAGCTATTGCTGGAATAAAAATGTCTTCCGACGAACAGAATACCTTGGTCACCATTCGCCCCTTTCCGAAATGGCTATTTGGCTTGTCCTGGAATAACACGAGTTGGTCACGAATGACATGGTATTATTATATATGCCCGACCTTTTTAATGGTCGGTGGTAACTACCAATGTCGTATGTAAAAAAGCTTACACTGTGTTATATATTTTGCTTACTGGGTATATATGTATTTAGGAGATGCACATATGTGTGAGGTATAGGTCAGCTATACACTAAAGTTGTATGCTTCTCTCGAGGGTAGTACGGTCTGATGTACGCCTCTTTGTAGCAGTGTCACCCGAGCCGCTACGCGAGGGATGACACTGCTACAAAGAGGCGTACATCAGACCGTATTACCCTCGAGAGAAGCATACAACGTATTTATCTTACCGTCATGTTAAATGTACAAACTATCATTTTATTTTATTTCAAAGATCGCTACCGACTATATGACATGTAAACAAAATGGCGTCTGCCCCTCGACTGGATTTTTTAAATCAGTGAAACATATTCTGACAAGCTTAAAACTGCTATAAAGATGGTTAATTATGTTTAAGTTGAGTGTGCAAACGATTCAATGTATAAAATAGTTTAAATACAGCAGTGAAAGTCAATAAAATATATCTGTACATAGTGAACTCAAAAACAGCTAATCGAACGATTTTAGAACTCCGGACACTGCATGCGTCATATTATGGCGTCATACGATTGTTAGCGATACAGCTTCTCGGCGGAGAGTTTGGCGGTTACCGTGGCGGCGGGTAATATTTTTTCCAGTTGTCACCCTCCTGGGAGGGGTGACACGGATACTTGTTAAAGCGTCATTGACCAATGAAATTAAAATATTTTACATGAAGGTAAGATAAAGCAATATGTCAGTCTGATGTCAATACAGCTTGGACTATATCAGAATGGATGCGGTGGGCGAGCTGGCTATAAGGCGCCAGACTAGTGATCCAGCGAGCATGAGGTGCCGGGATCGAGCCCACATGTGACCGGGTGTAAAAACCCTGGAGTCAACTTTGTCACAACCCCTAGTGTACAGTACACAACCTCGTGGACTTAAAGAACCCACGAATCCGTTGGTATATGACCAGATGACGGCTACATGAATACCTGCAAACACCTAGTTGCGGGTACAGCAACGTGCAGTAAACTTGGACAAAGTACTGTGACTATGTGTCCCAGTCCATCCAGCTGCGAATGGGTACCTCGTAAGGATGTGAAAGCCGCAATAACTCGGTGCGCCTTGTGGCAGCAAGAGCTGTATGATCCCCAGGGAGTTGAGATTGATAATAAGATGTGCCGTTGAGATTGACATCCAATGATCGAGGGAAAAAATACCAGCGCCTTGAGCATGCACTAACTAGTATATATATAAAGAAATCAGCTTCAGTCACAAGTAGTTAATGTGATTTGAAACCTCTGGTTGACCAATGAGAATCTGATGAGCATCGATCTACGCAATTGGGATACGATGGCATGTGCCAACCAAGTCAGCGAGCCTGACCTCCCGATCCCGTTAGTCGCCTGTTACGACAAGCATGGGTTAATGAAGATCAATTCTAACCCGGATCTTCACAGGTTCAAAGACTTAGCAACAAAGTCAGAGCTTTATTGGGTTTCTGGGGCGGTAGGGTGGCCTACTGGTGAAAGAGTTCGCTCGTCACGCCGAAGACCCGGGTTTGATTTCCCACATGGGTATAATGTGTGAAGCCCATTTCCGATGTCCAGTGATATTGCTGGACTATTGCTAAAAGCGGCGAACCTACAATCCCTGAACACACAGATTTATAGCCTTTTGTGAGAAGATGAACGTGGAAGGGAAGATTTTCAGGAAATTGTTTCCCTTGACGCCTTAAACCATGTTGGCATCATTTACAATGTAACATTGATGCATCTCCTGTGTTGGAAACACGATGTCGTGGAATAATCATTGTACGAGCGCTTCCAACAGATCCCAATTCCATTTTGGAATTAATTTTAATGCAAATCTGTTATTATTCATAAAATTGAACAGAACGCCCGTACTTGACTCAACTGATAAGTGGGGAATTAGAAACCAACAAGAGGCCTCGTTTACACAGTTTGCACTAATGTAGTAGTTGAATGTTGACATAGAAATTAAATTTATGGATTTGTAAAAGTCGCGCCAAGACCTACATAGATTGTATGCACGTAGACTAACGCTTAGTCTCTGAATATATAATTTTGATTGTAATAAATAAATACATTTAAATTGAAAAGGAGCCCAAGGCAAACCAGCAATTCAGATTCCTGAACCTGGGGAAATCTAGACTTGCTTCATTTAGAGCTTAAAATTAGCACTGCGCAGTGAGGCTAGGTTGTAGGGAAAATAATATGGTTGAGGGACTGTGAGACAGACTAGTATACACGCTAATTTGCATATTATTCGAAAGATAACAAAGTATGTGAAATTTTGTTCACATTAACAGTAACGTAATCAAATGTTGATTAGTAAAATAAAATAAAAATCTTGGCGGAAAGCATTGTGATCAATGTCAAATCAAGCATTCATATGAGATGATCATATGATACCTGCATGGGCATATATGAACCCGCTTAAAGAAGAACAAGAAATGTTTGCAATCAGGATCCAGAATTTATTTTCCGGATTTTAATCTCCCTTCGTCAAAATTGTTACTTCCGGTGAAAACACATGGTAGAATATAGCTGAATGTGATGACATGACAGCAGTGTAAACATCGTAGTTTAACAGAATCATACAACTTACGAACTTGGGTATCATGCCTAAGAAAAAGACAGGAGCCAGGAAAAAGGCCGAAAAACAGAAGGAGAGACAGAGGGGTATAAGAAATGCCCAGTTCGAAAGACCGTTGGCAGATAGGCCATGCAATCAGTTAATGGTAAGAGTTAGTGCACAGATACGGGGCCATTAATTGACCGTTTTTTTGGTTCCCCGGGAGATGCATTTATTGAGCAGTTTTTCAAGTAGTTCATTTCATTAAATACCAATTCAAGTATCTTGTTTTTTCTTCTTCAGTTCTTCATTTCATTAAAGAACAAATCCAGTAACAGATTGTTGTCAAGTTGTTCACTTCAAATAGAGTAAATAACTTGTCAAGCTTTTTTGGCACAATAATATCATTTTCTTTCCAAGTTTCCTTGAAATGAAACTAGCTTAGGTGGTCTAACAGGTAAGAGTTCCTTACGTACCCCCCACCTATTTTTTAAAAAAAATACAAAGATATACAAGCAATGAAAAGTACCGGCCAAAGTACCTTATAAAATAGGAGGGGAAGGGACGTAAGGAACTCTTTCCCAAAAGTCAAGGAAAGACCTGATTCAAGGTCTTGTTTTTGAATGTTGGACCCTTGCACAGCTCTTTTGAGTTAAAAATGCCATCAATTAATCGTCACTGAACAGAAAACCTTTTTTTTTCAGGAATGTGACCATTGCAAAAGGTGAGTTGACTTATGATCTAGTTATTATGTCTTTTATTATGTAAGATAAACAAATGCTCAATTCATGAAAGTTTTCTCTTTATCATGCTTATTGTCACCACCCATGCCAGAATTTTGGATATTTTAAAAACTCTCAGAATCAGTTACCACAGAATGTGTGTTTGTCCATGTACATCATACTATGTTGTTCAAGATAAATTATGAAAAATCCACACAAATCTATGTAAACACAGTTACACACATAGAAAAGAGTGGGGTAGCCAAGTGGTTAAAAAAATCCGAATATATCACTTGGTGTTTTAATTAGCAGTAAAGGAAGCATTTGAAATTATTTCCGATGTTTGCAGGAATCAGAAGTCGAGGGCCTTCTGTTACTTTTGTGGCTCATTACAAAGGCTGCCTGCTTGTGGAGCATGTGGTAAGTAGTTCATAACATGTTTATACTGACAGTTTTGTTTGGTGTCAGGACATGTGAATCATAAATTACATTCAGTATGTTATGTGCTGGGTTCGGCAAATATCAAAATTGTGTCCTTGATTGGTAAGCATAAAAATCCTATCATGGCTTGATTATTGACCCAAAATTACATTTTATTCATGACAAAATCAGTCACATACTGTACTTGTTTTCATTTGGAAGTATGTTATTCACTTTCCATTTCCTTGTGGCTTTTTACTCTGAGGAAATAAGTTCATTCACTTCCAGGTTGTAATCAAACAAAAACAATTTTGAGAGCCAATCCAACCAACCATGACTATTTGCAACATGTTGCATAGTTGGTCAGTGGTTTTCTAGTGGAACAATCAGTGTGATAGATATTACTGTTAGGACAAAGAAGCAAACAATACACTGCCGCCAGCTGGATTGGTCACACTTGTGATGTTTACAATTTTCATAATATTTTATCAAAAAGAATAAGATCACCTATATAGGCATTCCACAGGAAATGTGAGCTGTTTTTCAGTTTGGGTTTCCACATGGGCACAACGTGTGAAACCCATTTCTGGTGTCCCCCAACTGGAATATTGCTAAAAGCTTTGTAAAACCAAACTCACTCACTCACATTCATGGTACGATGTGGCCGCATGTTGTTGTAAGGTCCATATTACTTTCAGGCAAAACAAAGTGTATGATGAAGTCGAGTGACTGTGTGATCAAGCATGCTGGCACATTCACCACAGGGATGGCTATGGTGGTGAGTTGACTGGCAAATTTGTTCTCACTGAATTAGGAATGAATCAGAACATGCAAACTTTTTATTTGGATTGGAGATTTTTAAGGGTCTTGTTTCTCAAAATCATACTGGAATGCATTTGTTGAAGTGTATGTCTTTTTGGTTTAGTGGACAGTGGTTTAGGCTTGTGGTTGAAGTGTTCACAGAAAGTCCAGGGACCCGTTCCACAAAGCTATCTTTGTTGTAAGGTGATTGTAACTCCCATACTTTTACAATGGCTTACAATAGTCGTAGCGCTAAGAGCAGTTTGTCAAACAGGGCCCAGGTTTGACTATCTAACATGGGTACATTTTAAGAAGCCCATTTATGATGTGTCCTGCTGTAATTTCTGTAGGAATAGTGCTCAAAGTGATGTTTAACCAAACTCACTCTGTGTTTGGTAATACCCGTGAAGGTCCGGGTTAGAATATTGATCTTCAGTAACCCATGCTTGTCGTAAGAGGCGACTAACAGGATCGGGTGGTCAGGCTTGCTGACTTGGTTGGCACATGTCATCGGTTCCCAATTGCGCGGATCAATGCGCATGCTGTTTATCACTGGATGGTCTGGTCCAGACTCGATTTTTTACAGACGCCTCCATATAACTGGAATATTGCTGAGTGCGGCGTAAACTTAAACTCACTCACTCAGTGTTTAGTAAAATCCCCTTATCTAACAAGGAGGCAACATGACACTTAAATCGACTGAAACCGACAGTGAATGCTACATTAACAATCTAGACAGATTGTTAGAAGGAGAAAAAAATTGCATGGTACATGTACTTGAGCAACTTCATTAGGATTACCATACAAACTCCACTCAAAATAAGAGTGAGTGAATTGTTCCTCTGTTTCTTCATTGCAGGGTGCTATCTGTGATTTCTGTGAGACATGGATCTGCCATGGTCGGAAGTGCCTGCAGACTCACGCCTGCATCTGTCCCCTCACAGACGCAGACTGCATAGAATGTAAACGAGGCGTCTATGATCATGGTAGGGCCCAGAACTTCCCTGTGTTAAGTTGCTAGGTAGAAATACTCTGCCATGTAACATTGAACTAGCACATCAGTGAACTAGCATCATGTTGTTTTATACCATCTCTGTCCATCATTCAGTGCCAGGGGCGGTGGGGTAGCCTAATGGTTAAAGCGTTGGCTCGTCGTCATGCCGAAGACCCGGGTTCGAATCCCCACATGGGCACAATGTGTGAAGCCCATTTCTGGTGTCCCCCGCCGTGATGTTGCTGGAATATTGCTAAAATCGGCGTAAAACCAAACTCAGTCAGTCAGTCATTCAGTGCCATCTTTTCTGAAACTCAAAGACAAATGGGGCTATCAGAAGAATGCTCAAAGAATTCTTATCCAATTTTCAGGCATAGTGACCTTTAACTCTTGGCAGTTCAGGTGACCTTTGTGGAACTGTTTCCCACTATTTTTCCATGCCCACTATTTTTCCATGCTAGTATCTTAATAAGGTCTTTATTAAATACGTAAATATGTTTGTCTGGTTTACAAGCAGGTTTTTCCAATAAGATTCCAGGTTAGAATTGGCCTCGAATGCCCTATTTTGTTGTTTATTATTTACCATAAGATTAAGCATGTAGAACTTGATCAAGTGATTGAATGTGTATCATTGTACCCAGAAGGTATGGGTTGCTTTTACTATCAACAAACGATTTGTCAAACCGAGCGTCAGATTATTTACAGTCCTCTGTCATCATCATACAAGAACATACTACTAATATACTGGACAAAAATAGTTAGGGATGTATGTACATTTTGAACTTATGAATAATGACGTACCGGGGGTATTTATTAATTGACACACTGATAAATTATCAATCATAAAAATACCAATATCCTAACTTATTTTGTCCAGTATAGTTTTTTGTTTGTTTGTTGTTTAACACTGCACTCAACAATTTTATAGCTATACACTAGTGGTGCTCCGATTAATTGAAATAATCGAAGATTGGTCGCAGTGACCAAACGACCAAGCAATCGATCACAATTTCTCATAATCGAACATAAACGATTTTGGAACTACTGTTTTAGTCTTTGAAATACTTGACAATGGAACATATCTTAGAAGTTGTCAGGGCCTGAAAACGTGTTTAATTCTTAGAAAACTCACTTCACTAACTGAAAAGCCATGACTGAAGGTTTCTCTAAGACTGAAGGAAGTTTATGTTCATGATATATTAGTCATCACTTTAAAGTAGCAAGTTGCAATCATGTTATACATATCTGCAATAACAACTTGGATAGGAAAATCTGAAAAATGACGCTAACCAATTTTTTGATGATTGTTCGTTGGTAATGAAGCAATCATCAATTGTGAGATTTCAACCAATTCCCAACACTACTATACACTGGTGATCTGTAAATAATTGTGTCTGGACCAAACAAGCAAGGGATTGACATCATGAGCCTCAATCTCTGCAGTTGAGATACCATGACATACATCAACCAAGTCAGCAAATCTGATCACCTAATCATGGTAGTCGCCTCAAACGATAAACATGGGTTGCTGAAGACCAATTCTAACTTGGATCTTCATGGGTGGCTACTAGTAGAATAACTAAGAGTGTGGATATGGATGTGGATTCTTCATCCGCTGCATGTGAACATATAGAATATGCTAGAACTGTGCAGAGAATAATATTAATAATCAGATTCTTATTATAGTCTGTTTGCAGTGAAAACGTACCGGTGAATTGCACTTTAAACAAAAAAGTAAATCAAATAAAGTGAAATTAAGATTGCGAATCCTCATAATTCTACCTTACCAATTGAACATTAAAATCTTAGATTTTTATTCAATTATGAAAAAATGTTGTTTAACAAACGATCATAGTTTCAAATCGCTTATATCGGTTTGTATTACAAGGGGGTAAGCGCAGTAGTTGGAAAAGTGAAACAAATGCACGTGCGGTGCGTGATGAGCGTTAACTTAGACCAACCCTACTTGATCTCAGTGTTTCATTTTATGTGCATACCCCCTTGTAATACAAACCAATAATACCGATTTGAAACTATGATCGTTTGTTAAACAACTTTCATCCCAAGTTGAATAAAATTCTGAGATTTAAATTTTCAAATGTCAAGGTAAAATTATGAGGATTCGCAATCTTAATTTCACTTTATTTGATTTACTTTTTTGTTTAAAGTGAAATTCATTGGTACGTTTTCACCGCAAACAGACTATAAGCGCCGTGAGCAATCACTTGGTGTTTGGAGATGACTTATTATTATTATTTATAATACAAATACAGGGCACTTGTGATGTTTCTTACATGATTCTGTTTAAATGTTTCATTTGAATATTTCAGGTGGTCGAATATTCAGGTGTTCCTTCTGTCACAATTTCTTGTGTGAAGACGACCAGTTTGAACACCAGGCTAGCTGTCAAACACTTGAGTCTGAAAACTATAAATGTAAGCCGTGTTTGAATATCTTTTGATGTTGACATTTTAAGCTGAAGTGGATATAAGTGAAATTAATGTTGAATAGTATGCTACCATTGTTGGTGACCAGAATTTAAAGGAAAGTAAGTCTTTTACTTATCTCTCATAACAACATATCAGTTTTGACTCTGCAAAGGTCCTGCCCCATAAACTCTAAATAACTTCCTCTCTCCTTGCAGGTCTTTCTTGTAATAAACTAGGCCAGTTTTCCTGTTTACGATGTAAGGTAAGAGGTGGTAATTGTGAGATCTTTAGTAGATTAAGATGTAGTTTGTGTGAGGTACAGAGGGCACACAGTCATTTTTGTCATAATCAGAAACATAGCGGTTCTGGTACTGTATCCAGCTTGTTTCAAAACACTGATGGAGCAGTAGAGTTACCTAATGTTCAAAGCCTTGCTTTTCACACTGAAGGGGCTGCTTTGATTCCCCACGTGAGTTAAATGTGTGAAAACCTTTCCCTTGCTGTGATATTGCTGGACAGTTGCTAAAGGCAGTGTAACACTACTCGATCACAAAGTCCCTCCTAAACACTGGGCCCGTGAAGATCCGGGGTAGGATAGGTCTTCAGCAACCCATGCTTGCCGTACAAGGCGACTATGCTTGTCGTAAGAGGCGACTAACGGGATCGGGTGGTCAGGCTCGCAGATCGATGCTCATGCTGTTGATCACTGGATTGTCTGGTCCAGACTCGATTTTTTACAGACCGCAGCCATATAGCTGGAATATTGCTGAGTGCGGCGTAAAACTAAACTCACTCACTCTAAACACTGATAGTTCATGTCACCCACTGACAGACACTGAAGGACACCCTGTTCCCTTGCAGAGTGTTCATCTAATGTTGTTTCTCTGCCTTCAGACCTGCTACTGTGACGACCATGTTAGGCGGAAAGGCTTCAAGTACCCCAAGGGTCAGGCCATACCCTGTCCCAAGTGTGGCTATGAGACTTCAGAAACCAAGGAGTTGTGCATGTCCAGTGAGTACAGTTTGTTTATTTGTTTACAGAGTAATATTCCCAAGGCCACTATTGTGATATGCAGCGTACTGAAATCCAAATATTGTGATATGAAGCATACTTTGAGCCAAGTATTGTGATAGATAGCATATTGAGATCCAAGTATTGTCATATGCAGCATACTGAGATCCAAGTATTGTGATATGCAGCATATTGAGATCCAAGTATTGTGATATGCAGCATACTGAGATCCAAGTATTGTGATATGCAGCATATTGAGATCCAAGTATTGTGATATGCAGCATACTGAGATCCAAGTATTGTGATATGCAGCATACTGAGATCCAAGTATTGTGATATGCAGCATATTGAGATCCAAGTATTGTGATATGCAGCATATTGAGATCCAAGTATTGTGATATGCAGCATACTGAGATCCAAGTATTGTGATATGCAGCATACTGAGATCCAAGTATTGTGATATGCAGCATATTGAGATCCAAGTATTGTGATATGCAGCATATTGAGATCCAAGTATTGTGATATGCAGCATATGATATGCAGCATATTGAGATCATGCAGCATACTGCAAGTATGATATGAGATCCAAGTATTGTGATATGCAGCATACTGAGATCCAAGTATTGTGATATGCAGCATACTGAGATCCAAGTATTGTGATATGCAGCATACTGAGATCCAAGTATTGTGATATGCAGCATATTGAGATCCAAGTATTGTGATATGCAGCATATTGAGATCCAAGTATTGTGATATGCAGCATATTGAGATCCAAGTATTGTGATATATGCAGCAGCATACTGAGATCCAAGTATTGTGATATGCAGCATACTGAGATCAAGTATTGTGATATGCAGCATACTGAGATCAAGTATTGTGATATGCAGCATACTGAGATCCAAGTATTGTGATATGCAGCATACTGAGATCCAAGTATTGTGATATGCAGCATATTGAGATCCAAGTATTGTGATATGCAACATATTGAGATCCAAGTATTGTGATATGCAGCATACTGAGATCCAAGTATTGTGATATGCAGCATATTGAGATCCAAGTATTGTGATATGCAGCATACTGAGATCCAAGTATTTATATCCAGCATTTAAAGATCTAACCATTGCTGTCAACATATTGTAATCTGACTGTTAATATTCAGCATATAAAAGATCTAATCTAATGTGTGTATTGTCCGAGCCATAACCATACTTAGATTTCACCAAACTGTTACTACAAATATAGCGAGACAGTATCAAATAGGTCCAAAGCCTAAGTCACTCATACTGTTCAGTATGTCTGTGACTGAGGGGCGGTGGGGTAGCCAAGTGTTAATGTTGAAGCATCCACTCATCACGCTGAAGATCCGTGTTTGATTGCCCACATGGGTTCAATGTGTGAAACCCATTTCTGGTGTCCGCCATTATATTGCTGGATTATTGCTAAAAGCGGCGTAAAACTAAACTCAGTCACTGAGTCATGGTTAGTGGTTTCACAATATACATTCATGTATCAAACATGCATTGTTCTATGTTTGGTGTTTCCTCAATTTAGAGCATGTATGTGTTTCAGCTCGTCGTTATGTGTATGGCCGTCAGCAGGAAGATTATGAAGATGATGGCTATGGAGCTTCAGGGTTCTCCTTTAGTGGCTATGGCATGAGCACCTCCGGAGGCTACGACCAAGACGATGATGATGGTATGTGTGGGTCAACGTGGGAACATAAAATAGTGCTGTGCAAGAACACAAACACTTTGTTCTCAGGCACACAAACCAGTAAGAGGATTGTGCAGGAAAATTGTTGTAGTAGAATAGGCTATTTCAATAGAACTAGCACCGAATCCCAGTTACATATGTGATAATTTAAAAATATTTATTTGACGTTCCATATGCCAGTTACCTATACAAGTACACTAAAAGAGGCCTGAGAAATGTGTATTTGAGATCCTGTTCTTCCACAGCATAGGGTATTAAATAGTCTGTTGGTTTTGGTGTGTGAGCACAGATCCAGTTCAGCAATGGGATTAACATAATTATGTAAAATGGAATAATTTCTTTTTGACAACAGGACAAAATTGTTAAAGGGACTTAACTTGACGAAGATTGCTATATTTTTTTTGCAAGGTGGTAATCCATATTGTTTATAATATACTTCAAGAGCAATTGAGCTATGACTAAAATGAAATACAGAAGATATAACAGAGTTCTTGTTAGACATTTCAGTGATCACTTTTCACTGTTCATGAAGCTGTCATAGCTCTTACTTTAAACACAGCCAGTACAGCAGTTGTTATTATTTGAGAATTAGGCTTAAGGGAGGTTTGAATATACCTTTGAACTTCAGATATATTATGCAATACTATGTTTTCACAAGCATCCTTACACCAATCCTTTTGCTTTGTAGATGACGAAGATTATGAAGATGACGATGATGAAGATGATGATGATGAGGAGGAGGAGGAAGATGATGTGAAAGTTACCAAAGATATTGAAAAGCTTAATGTCAAAGAATGAACTGAGACAGTACTGACATCACTGAACACAGAGAGACCTATTAGTTTGGCACTGAATGAGACTAAATGGATTGAAACTGAAATGATTGGCCATTGGCAATCCCAAAAGTTCCCTCAGGAACTAATGAATAGATGTGGATGATACTGAGTAGCAAGATGATGATTAGCAAGGACAGCTGTGAGTGACTTGATTACATAGGATTCATGTAAATATCACTCTGGATTAACACTATGGGAATGGTAAGGTAGATTCCCATGAATTGGGGGAATACATGTTGACAAACTTAAACACTGTGATCGAGATACTATGATGAAGTACAAAATAAAACATGCTTTTGAGTAAAGTGTCATTATATGTTTCGGCTTCTGGTTACATGCTCTGCATGAACAGTGGTATCAGTGATAGCAATATCCACATGAAGAGAGAACAGGTGAATGAACAGCAAAAGCACCTGTTGATATATATCACAATACATTGTTGGACTCTTTCTGCTTGTCCATCAAAGTGCTCCCCATGCCATCATCATTCTTGGTCTGTTAATGGGTATGGATTCTTTCAATCTATTTTCAGTTAACAACAGGGACTCGTTTATGGCATTCATACATATACAGGGTTTGAGGTTAGGGCATTGGATGACAAGTTATACAGTTTACAGTATCATGGTAAATGAGAGTCAAGAAATATTTTTCTGATCTGGCAAAAAAATTCAAGACAAGTCTGTATTCCAGCAATATCACATGTACACATGAGGTGAATTGAACCTGTGTCTTCAGTGTGACAAGCAAACACTTTAACCAGGGCTCCGTTGTTCAATACAACCTTATCTCTAAGATTACAGGGGCGGTGGGGTAGCATAGTGGTTAAAGTCGTTAAACACGCCGAAAAACCCGGGTTCGATTCCCCACATGGGCACAATGCGTGAAGCCCATTTGTGGTGTCCCCTGCCGTGATATTGCTGGAATATTGCTAAAAGCGGCGTAAAACCAAACTCACTCACTAAGATTACAACCTTAGACCTTTACTAAGGTTAGCCTCCCGTTGCATGAAACAACCTTAACTAAGGTTAACCTTAAGTTAAGGTTGATAACTAAGGTTGGTTCTTAAGGTGATCGTAACTCTAACCTTAGTGTTTAAGGTTGACCTTAGCTACGGTTGGTCCTTAAGGTGATTGTAACTCTAACCTTAGTGTTTAAGGTTGACCTTAGCTAAGGTTGGTCCTTAAGGTGATCGTAACTCTAACCTTAGTGTTTAAGGTTGACCTTAGCTAAGGTTGGTCCTTAAGGTGATCGTAACTCTAACCTTAGTGTTTAAGGTTGACCCTAGCTCAGGTTGTTTTGAACAATGAAACCCCTTTAGGTTACCCCACTGCCCTTTGTGGCATAGACACGCAACAAGGACATGAGGTTGACCTGCAGCGTGACAGTGCTCATGACAACCACATGTTCTAGGTTGTCTGAGACTGGATTATTTTGAGGCTGCAGTGATGGAATATTGCTGACTGCCTTGTATTGAAGCACACAGTTACAGTTGATTACTGTGGATGTGATCAGGCTGAGTGGAACTGAAGGTTCTGGTGAGTCTATCACAGCATTGTTGATCACATTTCAATATGTTCACCCTGAAACCATGGGAGTAATGAGAGGGTCCTGACTGGGTAGACAATTAAGTGTGAAACGATTCACAAAATAATTTGTATTTGGCTATGTCAAGATTGTATTGCCAAAGTTGCGACAAATATGTTTTGTGTAAATTGTAACTGTTCTTTCTTATCAACCGAAAGTCTCGTAAAAGACACATATAAGTAGATATAAAAAAGCAAGAAAAACATTTGATTGATGTGTTTGCAAAATATGAATGAAATTACAGTAATGAAATTAATGAAAAGTATATGGGATTTAAAATGATTCTGTTAAGTTGTCTTATTCCAAAATATATCAAATTCATACACTTATGAAAGCCGTATTGGATGGGTAAACACTTTAATACTTATACTTCAAATCCAATAAATAACATGCAAAATATCACAAAATAAGCCAAAAGTTTGCTGCCTATGATTTCAACATCAGTTCAACTGGCAAGTACTGTGAGCAGATGACACAACATGTCAAAAGGAAGTGAGCCAGAATATCAAATTCATCACAACATGTGATGTGAACATAATATCTTAATATGAATGGGTTATTTATTGGAAATAAAAGATGTGAACAAATTCATCAGAGGAATGAGTGAATGTATTAATTTAATATATAAGAAAACCAAGATATTTTTTCTCATGAATCACTTGTCCATGTACATGTGTATAACTGGACACATGTTTTGTAGAAGATCATTGATTCAAAAGAATCACTTCAGCAGATGACACAGCTTGTGAAATGAGCACTAAATCTTTAGAACAAAATCTCAGTTGGACAGAGAGGGCACCCCAAGAAGTCCCATCATCACTTAGTGGTCTGTTCCTCGGTTAGAGCCCCGCCAGACTTCCGGCCCATGCACAGAGTTTCAGCACAGGCCATCATTGGGGTGGCAACTCCAACGTAGATACAGAGCTTCAGTGCTGAAGGACGTTGTGTGAGAATCTACATAATGATGCAGCCAGGGCTCTTGGAGTCTGTGATTGTCTTCGGCTCCAGGCCCTGTTCTGCTTCCTTGATTGCCCTGAGGACCTGAAAAATTCAGGAAATACTTCCTATGTGTATCCCAATTACAGTAATAATAAATAAGTTACTACACTAGGATATAATTTTTTCAAATGTCAACAAGAGTTATCAGAAGATGACAAATCCTCCTCGCCCCCACAAATTTGAAAGAACAAATCATCCGACAGGTACTTAAGTCCAACTTGATACTTTTTCACTAAATCCAAATCGTTTCCATGGAAATCATGACAAATGCCAAAAATCTGCAAATAGCAAAAGGCATCACTTCAAGATCTGTTTCATATATCTGCACATGGACGGGGTGTTGACAGTATCCCCCCAGCATGTAATGCAAAAATCCCTACATAAATACGTTTCCCTTATCAGAAACATTTTCTGATACACTCATTACGTCTAATAGATATGACAATATCCAGAATCTGGTTAACTATGCTCTCAGGACAATGCCAGGTACCATTGTATCCAATTTTGTCATGCCATTTTAGAATCCTACATTTGATTACTGATAGTCTCTTGAGAGGCATCGGATAATGATTGATTCATGTAAATTCGCCATATTGAAAACCTAATGCTATAACATGTCATGTAACTTGCAAGTGCTGAGACTGTGTTTGAAACCTCCAAACTGAACGTCGAGATAGTCAACTCACATCCTCCTGATCGGGGAATCCAGCCAGTTGTAACTTGGAGAACACAAGCTTGTTATTAACCGTCACTTCAAATGAAGCTGAAAAAATAAGGAATAGATATTGAGCTATACTGATGATATTCGATATCATAAAACATGTGTAGGAAAACTGGGTTAAACTATAGCGTAAGCATGGGGGCAGGGGCTTCTTAACAAGATATTCAAACTATACGTACCACATGTAGAATAACTGTCTACCAGATAGTCTTGTAGCACATTGTTTCACTTGCTCTACTACGGGACAACTTCTTGACCGGGGTTACCGTTCATCGTAGCGCTAGATACATTGGGTAGGCCACGTGGTTGGTGCTAAATATGTTGGGTAGGCTCTGACTGGCGGAGACATCCGTCATCAGTAGGTGAACTTTGACCCATGTCAGAGGTCGTTCTAGAGCACTATATAAGGGACCTGGCTCTCTGGATTCAGTGTCTAGCTTTCGGTCATCCGAGCATCAGGTAATATCTCTGTCCCGGGGTCCTGTTTCAGGATCATTCCCTCCCCGTTTGCAGAGTGGAATGTTAGGTTTTATGTAGGGGGATGCTAAGTTAGGTGTTAGGTCGGGTTGGGGAAAAGTAGAAGTAGGAAACGGAATAGGTATTAAGCTTTAGACTTTGGGTAATGTCCAGTTTAACGGGGTTGGTTTGGGGTGGCTTTTCAGAAGAAGTTTCTCTATGGATTGTTGAGATGGGGAAGTTAGGTTCCTGTTAAACTAGTGTTAGGTTGGGTTGGGGGAGAATTAGGAGTAGGAAACGGAATAGGAATTATGTTATAGACTTTGGGTAATGTCCAGTTAGACGGGGTTGGTTTCGGGAGGTTCTATTTTGAAGAGGTTATTGAGGTTTGGTGTGTTTTTCTCACAAAGCTGTTTTTTTAATTATGTGAGAGAGAAGTGTAGTTTACAGACTGTTAAGTTTTTGTTTTCTTTTGTAATAAATTATTATCAGTGCTATCTTGTGTCTGTTATTTCCCAATAGGCTTTATGCCCGATTTACGAACTGGTCACTGAGTTTTGAGTAGAGAACAGATTAACCCGAACGCACCCCTATAATTATAAAAGTACACAACGCAAAGTCCAAACAAGGTTGATTAAACATCATGTTCCTACACACTATGTAATTTCTTGTTTTATGGATCCACTGGTCGTATTTTTTCAAGAATAAGAAAAAGAAGAAGTTAATTTTCCCTGCTCAAAAAATAAAATCCTGTTTTATTGGTCAAAACTGTAAATTTACAACAAATGGTTCTTGGTTTGTGACAAAACACAACCGTGTGGATTTCAGTGGTTGAAATTGTCAAGGACATACATTACTTTGGTCTTTCCTTACATGATTAAACGATTTGCAATATTTTTTATCAAGTTTAGGCCAGACCAATTTTATTTCTTGTTTTACGGATTTTTGTCCTCAGAAAACCTAAAGGAAGGAGGGAAAAATTTAAAAAATAAATAAATACTAAAAGTACTTTACTTTTGGCACTTTATGAAGTGTATATGGGGCAAAACACAATCTAATAAAAACGTTATTAGGATGTACCGAGGATTTGAACTCATGAATTATCTGCATGCCCTATGTTGCTTAGACTAAGGATTAGTCTCTGAATATATATAATTTTGATAGTAACAAACAAGCCCATTTATATTGAAAAGGAGCCCTAGGGAGACCAGAGATTCAGAACCTGAGGAAATCTAGACTTGCTTTATTTAGGGCTTTAGCACTGCAGAGAGGGCTTGGCAGTAGGGAAATTAATGTGGTTCAGGGACTGTGAGACAGACTATATGTTGCTGTATGACTTTGGTTGTGGTGCTGACAACCACGGATAATGTTTCAATTTCTTGGTGAGTCAGTGTGGGATTTGAACCCACAATTATTTGGTCCTCATGTGTATTAACATGCCAAAAGACTTGACTTGGCACAATAGTGATTGAGTTGTGTTTTACGCACATTATGTATTACTTTTATGTCCATCATCTACAGTCGCTGAAAATACTCACATTGGCGTCCAACCGCTCCAGTGATCTCCGCCTCGGTACGAGAGCTAAGCCATTCCTTGAGCTCCCGATACCGAGGTCCATAACCTCATCCGCCACTGTAACACAGAATAAGTGTGTGATCATATGAGATGTTATGCATGTGCTTGTTTGTTTGTTTGTTGTTTAATGGCGTAGTCTGCAATATTCCAGGTATATGACAGCAGTCTGTAAATAATCAAGTGAGGACCAAACAATCCAGTGATTGAAATCATGAGCATGAATCTATGCCCTGGGATACAATGACATGCACCCAATCCCCTGAGTTGCCCCGTATGACAAGCAGACAAATTTGAAGACAAATTCTTAACCAAATCTTTGCAGTGTTCTGCCAACAAACTGGAGAAGTGGGCACAGAGAGCTCTTCAGCATAAATACAGGTTATATTGAGAACTTATGGCTCCACACTCTAAGATATTGTATAAAACTTATAAACTGATGTGCAGGAGAATCACTGGCAACAAATAACATTACTGATATACAGAATGTTTGGCATAGCAATTTTCATAGGGGTAACATATTGTAGCAAAGTTGGTATTAAAGGTCACATAAACCCTAGGGGTACAAATACATAAATCACTAACTGGCATCGCGTTATAAATGAAACCCCCGCCATTAAAACTACTCATTTCGACCTTTAATTGACTTAAATCGACCTTTTGACAACAGTGCACAATTCTCACCCACGAATCTAAATTTCAACCAATCAGAGCGCTGCGCTGATGGGCAGGACTGTGACGCCATATGAGGAATAGCTTTGAGAGCCATATGAGGAATAGCTTTGAGAGCCGATGCAGAATTCATCTACATTTTAGGGGGTAAATTATCGTGTTTACAGGCTTGTATAAACCTGAAATCGCGGACAATTGTTGTGGAAAATGAAAGCTATATGTTCTCACAATCTACTGTCATTTAATTTTGTCTCCTGCTTTGCCTAGTTTCGAAGTTACAACTTGTTTTCATAGACGATTCTGTCAAAATCGATTGGTGTCGTTAGGGCCCTATTTGTATAATGACTGATCCAAATTGATCCCATTTCTGTGTTGTTTTACCTCGATATTTAATCATGTCATGTAAAAATCTGTTTGTATTCTCAAAACAGTGTCGGCCCATAAGTTTTCACATGCAATACAGCAATTAATACTCCCTCGTTGTAACCCGTGTTAGGTGGTATAAACCTACACATGTTATTTGTCATCATTCACTTGATGGTCAGTTAATGAATTTATAACAGGTATAATTAGTGGTAACACACTTAGATTACCCGACAAAGGTTCCCATTTGGCATTTCTTGTGTCTGGAGTAAATATTCAACATTATAAACATCGATCAAAGGATTAACCGATAACACGCTGATTGATTAATTACTTTTATCTTACACAGCGGAATTGTCAAAAGGTAGTGTTTATGTATGTAGATTTACTAATCTATACTGAATACACTCTGTCGCGGTCGGTGTTCGCGTAAAAACAACGCCCTTCTTTCAAAGGATTAACCGGCAATACATTGATTGATTGCCCATTATTGGCTAACTAAATTACTGTTTTAAAGAAAGGCGGACATTATGCAATTAGTTGCCAGGTGTGCTATCTTGGGTGACCAATGAGACTATACACCAATACCTGAAAAGATTTATCACTTTTTCAGATATATTAAACTGTTAAAAGACACATCATTTGGAACAGTTTTGTGGATATTGATGGATACATTCCTAACAAGGTAATGGCCTGATATTGTTCCTATAACTTTAATCTGTTTTAATTTTAATATTTGCATTTTGTTTTTATTCATTTGTCGTAGCATTCAACAGAATCATTGTTTTCGCCGCGTGAAGTGTAATGAGACAGACAACATGCACTAGGGTGTGTGTGCTAATTATGATTCACATTGGCAAACTATAAAATGTCTAGATATTACAGTTCTGTTATAAATTCACTATAAGTATCAGCAGATCGCCTGCTTTTATTTAGTTTCAAAATGCATACAAGTGTGATAATAAACTAATTAGGATTATAAGACCAAATATAAAGACGCACATTGACTAGTATCTACATACTGGTGAGTGGACATTAACCATGGGAATGTAGCAAGAAATTTATCGCAAGCAGTATTGTGACTTCGAACCCCCACCTCGCTCGCGGAAGAAATCGCTATGTTATAAGTTGTGTCATGCAAAATCCGCTTGGTTATGATTCCAATACATATTTAACAACGAGTAGAAAGTAGTCTTGATTTTCTAACTTGATGAAAACAAACTATAATCTCATTAATTCTAACAGATTTTTTATTTTTAAAATGATACTCTGTCGGGAACATCCGCCAGTCTGAGGATAAATGGTATTTAGGTTTGTTTTCACCGAAGTTACAAAATCAAAACTACTTTCTACTGGTAGTAAAATATGTATTTTATTGATGGCCAATAGGATTTTGCATGACATAGCGATATCATAACAATTTCTCTCGTGGCAGCGTAGGTGGGTGTCAATATAATACTACTTACAATATTATTGTTACTCGACCACAACCTCACTTCCGAGGAAGAAATCGCTATGTTACAAGTTGTGTCATAGAAAATCTTTATGGTCATCAATCATATGCATATTTTACTACAACTAGTAAGTAGTTTTGATTCTTTAACTTCCGCGGAAGCCGCATCTGAACACAAGTAAGATATCGCTTCAGGCTTCCACAACGCCGCCAAGACTCACAAACATAACCCATTTAGCACCTAACCGCGGGTCCTGTGGAAATCTGTGCATGGGGACACCATCGCCCGACCCCTAGGAGCAATTGACGACAAAGCAACGATTCGGCATGTCGCCGTTGATGTCGAGAAATCATCAAAATGATGAGCGTGCTACACATTTTCTATACAACTAACTGAAAATCGCTCCTCATATGACGCCACTGCAGTGCTCTGGCGACAGAGTTACGTAACCCGTCTGTGGTTTCGCTGGCATGGCTTAGAGGGAAGCAGGCTTAATTTTTGGCCACTTTTAATCGCCGGTATTAATTAACCACAAGTTTTAAAGAATAAATTTGGTGTTCCGTGATAAGACTAACCACAAATCTTTCATATGTAATGGTTAAAAGAGTAACAAAACAAAGTTTAGTGGTTCTTTGGAGCCTAAGTTACACTGTCTCACGTGCAGTAGTTGCCAACCCGCCTCTTTGCAAACACTACTAACCTGAGAGGACATGTTGACAGAAACGTGACTCAGCAAATTTCAATGAATAACGATCAGTGCATTGTCCAACAAACATGACAAACTAAGCTTGTTTTCAATGAATTATTCTGTCAAATGGGTTAAAATAATCAAACTTTACGTTCAGACATATGGCACCACGTGAGCACATCTCATAGAAATAACTGAGCGGGGAAACTTTTAAAAAAATGCTCACCAGTACTCAATATGCACCGTCACCTTCGACATCTTGTTGATAATAATCACGTGCCTTGCCAGGGGAAGTAACTGAGTTCGAGAGAACCTTCTTTGATATGAGATATTTGACCACTGTTTCGCTGGTTCGATTCTTGTTAAATGTAAAATAAATTTTCTCAAATGTTTTATCAATTTTAATGTTTAATCTCTCATCCTTTTAGGCAGTTATCTACTGATAATGAAAAAGTGAAGATATTGCCTAAAACGGGGCCCTGAAATACCTGAGGAAAAGCTTTGGACCAGATTGGACAGAAAGGGCAAAATTTCTTCTCAGAATGGGAATGTAATTAATACTCATTATTATAACAGTGATATTGCATTGACTAATGAAATTATTATTTTTGAAAGAGAAAATAAATATTTCAATCTAATATACCACATTGCGTGAAGATCGGAAGACATCTCTAGAAGAGATAGCGTAGACCTGTCCATTCAAATAATCAACGTAATCATTCAAATATCTATGGACGAGCGAGCGAATCATTCAGACTAGCCTATCTGATTTCTGTATCTCGAAAACGACCAGTTCCGAGTGTAGATGACTAAGATGACACATTAATTTTGTACACACGGTTTTCTTTGGTACAACTCCCGTTTTGAAGAATTTTGGGCTCAAGAATTTACGAATCCTGTAAGGTCAAAGTCAGTCAGTTTACGTACTTTGACCGCCTGTACTACGGAGTCCTCGGGTCTTGAAGCAGACTGACATCGTACGAATTGGATAAATTGTAATCGTCACTCAAAACGTGTGTCTCTACAAATGAAAAACATCGGGAAAAAGATAAACACAATAAACACTTTTAACACCACCAATAACACCAGGTGTTCGCCGCGTTGGTCTTTTTCTTCAATTTTAGTTATGGAAGGTGAGTTTTAGAATGCTTTTGAACTATGAAGAAAACCAAAATTGCGTTAGTATTGTGCTTTATATCCCGAGGTCGAAGTGATACTGGTCTATGACGTTTACATGGGTGAAATCCTTGAAGGGCGGTGGTGTAGCCTGGTGGTTAAAGCGTTCGCTCGTCACGCTGAAGACCCGGGTTCGATTCCCCACACGGGCACAATGTCTGAAGCCCATTCTGGTGTCCCCCGCCGTGATATTGCTGTAACATTGCTAAAAGCGGCTTAAAACTAAACTCACTCACACACTATTACATTGCACAAAACAGTGACTAGCCTGTAATATAGAGCTAACCTATTTCGGGTAAACCTTAGGACTCTTATGACTCCAACGGAAAAAGGGACTGTTGTATCAATAAGTCTGAACATTGTGTAGATCTCTGTGTACAAGCAAATATTCTATGAATAATTATAAATAATATGATGAGTTCATTGTTTATTACACTATCACAATCTGTATGATATGAACGCTACCCTGAATGTAATGTTAATGCAAGGGGAATAACTCCTGTTAGCCTGTTCCGTCATACCATCGTGTCAATGTAAAATCGCATATCGATGGAGCAGAGGATGTATAAGCTCGTGAGCAATCACAACCCTTGGTCACCGTTCCACCGTCATAATTTAATCCCCCTAAAACCTTGGGTTGTCAGCCTGAAATATACGGATAAGTACTGTTTGGCCGCGAGTTAAATCCTGACGAACGGCGTTACCGGATTCTAAGACCCGTGAAGATCCGGGTTAGAATTGGTTTTCAGCAACCCATGCTTGGGGCGGCTAATGCGATCAGGTGGTCAGGCTCGCTGACTTGGGTCACACATGTCATCGTATCCCAGTTGTGTAGAACGATGCTCATCACTGGATTATCTGGTCCAGAGATTATTTACAAATCGCCGTCATACAACTGAGTGCGGCGTTAACAAATAAAACCAATATGCACACACATCTCCTTAGTTGTATTCACCCAAGTTTAACACATATACTAGAATCTACATCGAAATGCCGTTGATTGCATCCAACCAGAAGTTGCTCCTCACAAATATGCATGTTTTTCATTGACCATATTCATAACTGGACCCCATGGAGGTACCTGGTAAGAAGTGATCATCAGCAGCCTGTTTTTGTTTTGTCGTACGTGGCGAAGTATCTGCTGGGGTCATCAATATTGTACACCTATTCTTTGGGGTGTGGGGTGGGTGGGGGTGTGTGTTGTTGTTTAGGAGTGTGTGTGTGTGGTGTCAGCAAGTTTGTAAATGCTATTATTAAAAGACTATGCTTAAAATTGTGTGCATGTGTGTGCGTGTGTGTGACATTGATTTTGCATATGACATGCATTTGTACCATGTCCATTGTCCATGACCATTTTCCCATCTGTCATCGCCCGACCTCACTTGTCTATTATCCCATCTCTCACCCGAACTCACCAGATCTCACTTGTCTATTTTCCCATCTCACATCACCCAATCTCACCAGGTCCATTTTCCCATCTCTCACCACCAGAGCTCACATGTCTATTTTCCCATCTCTCATCACCCAATCTCACAAGGTCCATTTTCCCATCTCTCACCACCAGATCTCACATGTCTATTTTCCCATCTCTCATCACCCAATCTCACAATGTCTATTTTCCCATCTCTCACCACCAGATCTCACATGTCTATTTTCCCATCTCTCATCACCCAATCTCACAATGTCCATTTTCCCATCTCTCACCACCAGATCTCACATGTCTATTTTCCCATCTCTCATCACCCAATCTCACAATGTCTATTTTCCCATCTCTCACCACCCGATCTCATGTCTATTTTCCCATCTTCATCACCCATCTCTCATCTCACCCATTTTCCCAGATCTCACATGTCTATTTTCCCATCTCTCATCACCCAATCTAACAATGTCTATTTTCCCATCTCTCATCACCCGATCTCACGTCTATTTTCCCTTCTCTCACCACCAGATCTCACAATGTCTATTTTCCCATCTCTCATTTCCCGATCTCACCAGGTCTATTTTCCCATCTCTCATTTCCCGATCTCACATGTCTATTTTCCCAACTCTCATCGCCCAATCTCACAATGTCTATGTATATTATGGCATTCAAAATATCGAAATTAACTGTTTTTGTCAGCAATATTCCAGGCATATATAGGTGACCCGTAAATAACAACAGTTAAACCATTATATTATCAACAAAGTCGCACGTAGCGTTGACACGACGTTATCAAGAAGTTGACGTTATGATGTCGACTCTGAGAAATATGACGCGAGGTATACTATTTATAAACTCTGACCTGGAATCTCTTTATAAGGAGATATACGACAAAAGAGTGTGGTGGTATTTTATGCACCCCACCCTTTAAATATAAATAATATAATAGCATGAAATAACATTTGACATATTCATTGGAAAAGCCGAGAAGCGAACATGGAATTATTAACTGTCAAGCGCACACACTATCCTCTGGGCTAATCTATATATTATTGTTTCACAGACGTAGATATCCCTTGATGTATTTAAAGGCAAGGTTAATAAGACACAACTGTACAACCCTGTTGCAGCATAAAGAATACTTAAAGGTCACATGCAACCAAAAAATCAAACATAATTAAAACACAATAATCACTTATTCATGACATATAATATACATTGCTGGTTATGAAAAAACATATAAACAAAATTATAAGCGTACAATCGCAAATCAAAAGTGCAATATTGTGTACTTGGGTTTACTTCCCAAGAAACGAAGCAGCCGGGATACTGAACCCAGTCAGAGCGGGTGGGTGTGCACTCAAGTGTAACGGCTGGTTCATTTGCAGATGCCCTCACGGCTCATTGTGTGTGTATATATAGAGATGTTGGGTTTTGTAAATACATGCTCATTTTTTGTGTATAACATTTTACAATCAACAGACATCATAACATGTCATGTGTTCAAGTATCACACCTGCCTGTCTGTGTAATTACATAATGTGACAGAGACCGAACTCGGGCCATAAATCAATGCATTTTGTTTATGGTGTATAGCATGATTGGTGTTAAGTTCAAATTGCATGTGGTCAGTGATAGCAGCTGTGTATTGAATATTGTCATTAGCAGACAGGCAGGCAGACACACAGGTGTCAATAAAACAAGACATTGAGTTTTGTCTGTGACAACGACATACCTATATCACAGTTAGAAATTGTGTCAACGCTAAATAATGACATTGCTTTCAAGTATCGAACTGAGAAAGTGACTCGGTAAGAAGAACGTGTGGTGAAATAGACAAATGAAATTATATAAACAGTTTATTTACTGTCATAACATATAAAGAGCTCGCGCCTGTGAGATATCAACAAAACATTAGAAAAATAGCTCACACCAAAGCCTTCACCGAGTATTCACCGGACAACCCGCTTCCAAGTTGCGCGAACCTATTTCACTGCGCCCGTGCTATGAGCGCAGCCCAGATGTTGAAACCAGTTTTCCCCCGAAAAGTCGGGGGAAAATTAGTGAAACGTTTGAACTCCGATTTCGCGCGGTTTTTTTCATCGCGTTATTTTTCAACTTTATAACTTGAATTTGCATTTTTGATGATTTGTTTCGGTAAGTCCATACCGAAAGGTATCAGAATCTGCAAAGTTGTGTTTTACGTTGCATGTGACCTTTAATAAGTATTACCAAAACAACGTAGTATTAAAACCTTTAATCTAGCCCCATCTCCAACAAAACCTTATATCTTCACAAAGACGCGCTGACGTCAAACAACGATTACTTTTCCGCGTGTAAATATCTGAGAAACGGCAGGTAAATCAATTTAGAAAACAGAATGATGACATTTCAACAAGGTATTTTGGGCAGGAAAAAACATATAAAACGAACTCGACGTCAAATAATATTTTCTTCAAAAGTGAATTAAACAGATAACCAGATAACAGGTTTGACGTCAGCGTTGCTCTACACGGGAAGCTAATATAGCCAACTTATCGATTGTTCGTAAGTGACGATATTTCTGGAGGTCCGACTACCAGCGCGTGTCCCTGCTGGTTACAGAGGTAACGAGAGGATGTAGTCGGTCACTGGCTCGCTGGTATAGGTCCGATATAGGGTCAACCTCACCGACAGTTGGTGTATGCTGTGATGGTCC